TTATGGTATTGGCTATGACTATGTCAATTTATCCAAAGAAGATTATCCAATTTTTCAAAAAAAATGGTGTTTAATTTTCAAATTTAATTTAAATTAACTTAAAAACTCAACATGCATTGTGACTACTTCTCCAAGTCATGTCACTATTAAAAAGGCAGAAAAAAGTAACAAGGACTTAAATGTGTTCCTTTGATTACTGAAAAATCCTGTTCCCCTAGTTTGAAGATGTCAGGACTAGGGCTTAGGAAATCGATCTTAAAACCAAGCTTGCAAATGCTCATTTCAGCTCAAATGCTATTTTTCGAATTTATGAAGGTATGAAATATTTTAATGGTAATTCTTAGTGACAAGATGCAAGAAGAGAAGGTAAAGTATGTATATGATACATTAAACTTGTTTATTAAGCTTTTAGAGGGTCAAAATAGCGATTAGCTAAAACAATGAGCAACGTGATGTACGAGCAATCAGAGATCATAAAATCGCAAGTTGTGACCTTCTGAAAGCGAAATTGATAAATTGTGTATGTCATACACAAATTTGACCACCCATTCTTGCTTCTTACAAATAACAATTATCATTATAGTATCTCATAGTTTCATAATTCCAAAAATTAGCTTTTTAGCTGTAATGAGCAGTTGCAGGCCTGCAACAGTAACACACCATGTAAAGGTAATCCACTAGTGTTACTGGTGTAAAGCCAAAGCCATAGACAATAACAAAGACAAATACAAAGACTAAGACACACACAAAGGCTAAAATAAAGATTAAGACAAAAATAAAGATATAGACAATAACAAAGCCATGGACATAGACATTGACATTGACATTGACATAGTCATAGTTATAGTCATAGTCATAGTCATAGTCATATTCATAGTCATAGTCATAGTCATAGTCATAGTCATAGTCATAGTCATAGTCATAGTCATAGTCATAGTCATAGTCATAGTCATAGTCATAGTCATAGTCATATAGTCATAGTCATAGTCATAGTCATAGTCATATAGTCATATAGTCATAGTCATAGTCATAGTCATAGTCATAGTCATAGTCATAGTCATAGTCATAGTCATAGTCATAGTCATAGTCATAGTCATAGTCATAGTCATAGTCATAGTCATAGTCATAGTCATAGTCATAGTCATAGTCATAGTCAAAGTCATAGTCATAGTCTTAGTCATAGCCATAGTCATAGTCATAGTCATAGTCATGGTCATAGTCATAGTCATAGTCATAGTCATACTCATATTCATAGTCTTAATCATAGTCATAGTCATGTCATAGTCATAGCCATAATCAAAGTCATAGTCATAGTCAATTTTCAAATTTAATTTACATTAACTTTACAATTCAACATGCATTGTGACTACTTCTCCGAGTCTTGTCACTATTAAAAAAGCAGAAAAAGTAACAAGGACTTAAATGTGTTCCTCTGATTACTGAAAAACCCTGTTCCCCTAGTTTGAAGATGTCAGGACTAGGGCTTAGGAAATAGATCTTATAACCAAGCTTGCAAATGCTCATTTCAGCTAAAATGCTATTTTTCGGATTTATGAAGGTATGAAATAGTTTAATGGTAATTATTATTGACAAGATGCAAGAAGAGAAGGTAAAGTAGTTGTATGATACATAAAACTTGTTAATTAAGCCTTTAGAGAGTCACAATAGCGATTAGCTGTAACGATGAGCAACGTGATGAGCGAGCAATCAGAGATCATAAAATCGCTAGTTGTGACCTTCTGAAAGCAAAATTGATACATTGTGTATGTCATACACAAACTTTACCACCCATTCTTGCTTCTTACAAATAAAAACTATCATTATAGTATCTCATAGTTTCATAATTTCTAAAAATTAGCATTTTAGCAGTAATGAGCAATTGCAAGCCTGCAACAGTAACACACCACGTGAAGGTAATCTACAAGTGTTACTGGTGTAAAGCCAAAGCCAAAGACAATAACAAAGACCAATACAAAGACTAAAACAAAGATAAGGATAAAAAAAAAAAGATATAAACAAAGACAAAGCCATGGACATAGACATTGACATAATCATAGTTATAGTCATAGTTATAGTCATAGTCATATTCATAGTCATAGTCATAGTCTTAATCATAGTCATAGTCATAGTCATAGTCATAGTCATAGTCATAGTCATAGTCATGGTCATAGTCATAGTCATAGTCATATTCATAATAATACTATAACGTAACTTTCCAACTAACAATTTTAGGTGCAGATTAGTACATAGAGCCATTTTTAAACTGCATGAGCTAGTCTGCAGCCAGAATCGTTTGTTGGGCTTATAATAGCATTAACTTAATAATAGCATATGTTCAACTTAACTTAAATTACACATAAACTAATAACTTCAAATTAATTTTTTCTTTAACTCAACATAAAGTTATCATTTAGTTATCTTTAACATAACTTTAACTTAGCTTTGAAAAATATTTAGCATATGTTCACCGTAGCCTAAACTAAACTTCAACTTATCATTGACTTAATAAAACTCAACTTGATTTTATCGTTAGCAAACGTTCAACTTTATTTTAACTAAACTTGAACTTGTATGCTAAACTTTGCAATTAAAGACACTTCACTTTAACTAAACTAAAGCTTCAACTCAACATAAACTTAACTTTAAATCAACTTTAAATTACCTTTGAATGAATTTTAACATAGCAAGAACTTCCAAGTGAAATGATGCAAATGAAATTTTCAAGAAATATCAAAAACTTCCAAGAACTTCCAAAATATTCCAAGAACTGTCAATAAATTTCAAAAGCTTTCAACAACTTCCAAGAAGTCCATGAACTGGAGATTTCCTGAATTTCCATGAAAATAACATTAATACAACTTAAACAAAAACACTTTTTTAAGTTATAGCTTTATCATTACTTAAACAAATATTTAACCTAACTTTAACTAAACCTTCGCTTAACTTTAACTTAACAGAGTCTTTATTTTATTTCAACTTGAATAAACCTTTATCTAAACTTTGACTTTATTTAAATTTAACTTTATCTTATAAACTTTACGAAGCTTTTAATAAACTCTAACACAGCTTCAACTAACTAACTTACTTGGCTTCATCATAATTTTAAAGTATCATTACCTTAACTTTAACTAAACTTTAACTAAACCTTCAATAAACTTCAACAAAACTTTGACTCAATGTTAACTTTACTTTATATTTTCTGTAACATAACTTTAACAAATTAAGTTCATTTTAATTTAATCCAAACATAACATAACTTATGTATTACAAAACCGTTAACTAAAAGCTGAACAATAATACTTCAACTTAACTTTAACATTTGTTTAATATAACTTTAACAAAACCTTATTTAATAAAATAAACATAACTTTTAGTTTAACATAACTTCAACTTATATAGTACTGAGCTTTAGCAGAGTTTTTTAATAACTCTAACTTAATTTTAACATATTATTGACTTTCACTATACCTTAACTGAATTTTAACGAAACCTTCACTAAACTTTGACTAAACTTTGGCTTAATTTTAACTTCACTGGATTTTATCTCTAATAAAACTATGACATATGTTTTACTAAACTTTTACTAATTTAATTTAGTCAACTTAAACTTACTTTTTTAACTATTCATTAACTTTTATTTCTTTATCTAAGTTAACTTTGGTTTAATTCTATCTGGACAAGAACTTTCAAGTTTCAAAAACTGACAAGACCCGAAGTTTCCCTGAAGTTATCTCGAAATAACTTGAACTTAACTTCAACTTGACTTTAATTAAACAATATTTCAAATTTGTCTTTACTTAACCCAAGCTATATCATAACCTCAACTTTAGTTTTACATAATTTAAACTTAACTTTAACTTATTAACATTAATTGACATGACCTGCTTCATCTAAACATCTTCATCTAAACATAAACTTAAATTCCATTTAACTTTAATTTTACTCAACATAGCTATAAAATAGTGTTAACACATATTTAACTTAGCTGTAGCTTAAATTCATCTTAAGCTTTCCTTTAAAATATCTAAACTTTAACTTTATATAAACTCAACTTGATTTAATTTAATTTTTTTTTTTTGCTTTTTCATAACTTAACTTTATTCTAACATTTTGGGTAAGAGGGTTGGGTTTGCAGCATAATTCGTTTTGGTAAACTATAATATGAATTAATCACCTAACGATCATATACGACGGATGTTGGGATTGAACCGACGGTCTTCTGCTCAGTAAGCAGAAACGTTTGCCACTAGGTAAACGAGCTCCTTGTTAATCATCGAAAAAAACGAAACACGAAAAACGAAAACGATTGACGAATCTTGAATGTGGATGGGCCTGAGATTAGACTCATGATGTTTTGCTCAGTAAGTTAAAACGGTCGCTCTAAGGCCACGAGGGGCTTATCATTATTCTAGTTGTTATAACCATTGAAAGCCGGTACCAGCAACGACGACAAGTTTTGCAAAATACACGATAAATAAGTGATTTGACCATAAATCTCATTAATATGAATGACCTGGACCGTTTTTTTTTGCTCAGTAAGCAAACGACTGCCACCGACGATCTTTCAACTCCGAAATCTAAAAACTACGAAAAAAACACATGGCCTTCATTAGGTTCCACTATCACACGACGTTCAATGTTTCGATTGGCGTTCTATCACTAACGATTTTCTACAATAGTAGCCTGGGATAAATCATAGTGTCTTTTGCCCCACAAGCCTCAACTATGTTTATGCACTCGGGTGCACACCTTACCGACAGTATCACTTTTCTTTGTTCTAACAAAAACCACAAAGTAGAGCACGCGCGATCGAGGCTATACCGGCAGGAAACAAACACATTGTTTTTAACTGAAACAAGCTCACTTTGTCACAATCACTTTGACAGCACCAACACAACAAATATTTCACTGTGAATCTCTTTTCAACACATCAAACAGATCAATTCGTCAACATTTAAAATTATTATAATGAATGGTGTGCAATTATCGTGTTTACTTACATTGATTTCAGCCGGCTGAAAAGAAAGTACACAAATTATCAATATTGTTTTGGTTTTTTTTTATTTGTTCAAAAGCATTATAAATATTCAACAAGTTGACTCGTTCTCTTTGGTCCCGTTGAAAGAACATCCGCTCCTGTAGATGGCCATCGGAGGCCAATTTTGGGACCCGGATAAAAATAAACGTGGGCGCTACACGCACGAGATGAAAAAAAAATGGCCAACCACGTAATCTCGTAGACTAGCAAACTGCGGATGGAACTTAGCAAATTTTTTGAGATTTTTTTGCGGCTGGTGATTACTAAAGCCCTCTAAGTATGGACGACTGTCACCACCAAACTGAAAAAGCTGTTCCAATCGAGCAAAGCGGTGCATTTTGTCGGTTCGCTTGGAACAACCTCTGACAGACGTCCATACTTTTACTATATAGGGCCTTAGTGATTTCTAGTTAGCCATTTTACCATCTCTTGTGCCAGGGGGAGTGACACTCACTTGGTTGCTTTTTAACAGTCTAGTAATTACTTAGGTTTTCGGGGAAACACATTAATGATGAGATTTTTTTTGAAATTAGATGGGAATGGATCAGAGAATCAGTCTGAATGAGGGGTGTTAAAAAGTTTCAGAGGGATAAGAGTCTGAACGCGAAGAGGATACACTCAATAATAAATGAAATCAAAAAAGCTTTAAAAGCATGCAAATTCACGCTTCACCTTATTGAGTCCGAGCCATGATTACATTGCCAGTAGTCATGCATGATTAAATTCAAAATAATCACTTGTGATAAAAATTTATCTTTTCAGTATGTTGGAGCAACTCTAGGATTAAGAATCAATTTATCCCGATTTCAACACACTCTCATGTACTGATATAGGCAATGGTATACGATAGCACTAACGATCTCGTTTACTCCCATATGAATGTCAATAACAATCTTTCCTCTGCTATCACTGGCCTTCAGCTAGGGAGCGAAATTGATCTCGATAGAGTCGGCCTTTTGATCAATCCCTTCTGCACAGAAATCCTATATATATGGATGTAATGTCGGCCTAAATGCCTATACATAAATTCAGCAATCGACTAAATTTTCAATAGCGACCAAAAATATCCATTAGTATCGTCCCAACGCGTCCATCTAGATAAAATTGATAAATAGTTGATTTTTAGCGATGGGCCCAATCTTAGATCAATAGGCCAACATTAGAGCCGTTTCCCCTTACTACCTATATAGAAACCAGTATCAAATTAGTCAAAATAAACCTCTGAACAGTACGCATCTTTATATCCTTCGACAACGACGAAGCAGCAGCAATGGCTACAGAATAAGCAAATCGGCTTATTCGGCAATCGTTTGAAAATAATTATGTGCGACTCTTTAGTTTTCTAACCATGGAATTCACAAGATAGCCGCGGAAACGAAATTGAATTTACCGACTAACTCCAGAGGTAGTGCAAATTTCACAGATCACCCTTATTCATGCATTAAGCTCCCAGAAGTCAAACTTCCAACCTTTAGTTGGAAATTGTTTCCTGAAATTGGCGTGTCAGAATGGTTAACCTTCCGTGACACTTTCAAGTCCCTCATAGGCTCAAATCCCCAACTGTCGCCGATCGACAAGTTGTCGTACCGCGTTACGTCTCTTTCTAAAGATGCTGGTAAAGTAATAGTGGAGAGATTGTAGACAAACTCTACATGAACTGCCTTAGTGACAAGACACACGACAAGACATGGCTACACAAAAAAGAATAGTTGAGGTTGAGTATTACATCCAAACAGCTGCACAGAGGTCATTCCGCTTTAAGTGTAATAAAAAAAAAATTACGTTGTACGATGTATACAGATTTGCGAACAAAATTACATCGGCTTTGTCTATTACATCATTATTTCATACATCAGTTTGAATTACGTTGATCGATATTACATTTTCTTTTGCTATGTACGAAGCACTTTGTTGACGGAGCCCTTTACAATACTGGAGCGGTCCACTGCGGTGTTTAGGGAGGGTAACGTTGGAGTAACTCTTTCTGGAGGCAAACCTCCCATGGGCTGTAATTTTGTATGAATTGAATATACTCAAGTTGACAGCCCCTCGGAGTGCACTACACAGCAAAAAAATAATTTTGATATCACGTCAAAGTGGATGCACTACAATCATGTCGAAAATATGGTGTAATATTACTTGCTAAAAAGGACAAAATTATTATTAATAAAATGCATGAGCTGACATTACGCTGCTTTTACTGCATTTGTTTATTTATGTGGTCATAAAAATTACATGAAATTTTCGACATGATTGTAGTGCATCCACTTTGATGTGATATCAAAATTATTTTTTTGCTGTGTATGCTTCGTGCCATGTTTCAAATGCGAATTGGCCAGAGCTTTTTCCGGACACATGCTACAAGCAGCTGAGGTCCGACGTGTAATTTTTTCTCGTGATAGTAGGTCACAATTGACTCGATAAGTGGATGTCAGGATGTTTCCTATCTTCGGGTAGAGCCGCGTGCCTGAGACGGCCACGGATTCTAAGAGTTCCGTCGACGAGAATCGTCACAATTCGTAAGTGTGAATACGTTCGATCATGGCGGTTGTTGTGACTAAAGGAACATAGAAGAGCAACGTAGGGTAAAGAACTACTTCGGCCTAATCGCCCATTTTGGGCCTATCGAGCAGAATACTTCAAATAAATCCATGATTTCAGAGTTAACAAGTCAAATATGCGTTTGTTACGATACTTGAGTAAATAAGCTACCGAACGAAGTCAATGAGAACGCGTGGTATGAAGGTTTGCACCCATTATTTCCAAAACAAAAGAAACGCTCCGACCGAATCAATTTTCATCTTCCTCCGATAGGCCGATGTGAATTCATTGGCGTTTCGATGGCGTTTCAATGCGTTAGGCCGAGTTTAGAATCCATAGGCCGAGTTTGGTGTCAAGAAGCAGTGTTAGACTTTTGACAACATCTCAACAATTGGTTTCTCTTTTTCAAATCTTGCGGTACGTGCGGAAAGGTAAATAAATTTGAAAGCCATCAGTAATAATAACATTCCGTTTGGTGCTAAACTGCGCTAGATTAAAAAAGACTAAGTGCGGGTTGTGCTTAATAGGCCGGAAATGAGGTAGTTAACCCTATAAGAGCAACGATACGCACGAGAGTCGGAAACGACGACCGAATGAAAAAGATTTCATTTGGTGAATGCACCTGCACCGTTAGTGAAACGGATCTCTCTTCGAGTAGTTCAGCCGGTAAGTCCATGGATGTTTGTTGCGTTAGAGGGCCAAAACCGTGATGGTTGCCTCATCAGCTGTGTCGGATACATTCCACGGGAGATGATATCCGTCGGATTTTCGATACCAGGTACATGTGCCCAAAGGCCGTTGACCGTGAGATGTTGCACTTCCGAAACTTGGCAATGAAAGTCTTCCACCGCGATAGAGTTGAACGGAGTCAGTGTAGCGTTATTATCGAGTCAGTCCAAAAGATGGTCTTTACCTATGCTGTATTGTTTTGAAAATTCTGGTAGAGATGGCCCAACAGAAGTGCTAAAGAGAGTTCCAACCTTGTCAGAAAAACACGCAGAAAAAATATTTTAAACGTAATAATATCTGACGTAAAATCAATAAGAATTTCATTTTGTTTTGGCTGCAAAATGATATCATTATTGTTTCAACAATCCAGTATTTTTGTTCCTGAAAACTCATGGATTGTTGAATCAAAAAGAAAATGTTTTCGTATTTACATGGTTTTGACGTAAACTGTCAAATTTTGTAGCTGGTTCAACAAAAAAATGTTTGTTTTTAAAAGAGATTGCTTGTTGATTCAATCATATTTATTTTATGAAGTCTGACAACTGTGAAGCAACTGTAAACTCTAGAGGGAATTTATATCTGTAACTGAAACCAGTTTGATTTTAGTTTGCCAACCTGGTTAAAATGTCATTATTTTCATTTAATTATCTTAAAGATAAATCGTCCAGCTCAAACCTTTGTAGGGGTAAGAGGTGGGACCATCATCATCATCATCAATACACGCAGTAGAAATAGAAATACGTTTATTGATTCAATAGTAATTTGGCGATTATTTTTGTGTTTTGTTTTTTTTTTTTTTTGTAATATACAGAATTGCAATTTTATTTAGAAAACCTTTCTGAATCATAAAATCTCTGATTACAAAAAACAAATCAAAGAAAAAAAAAAGACAAACTGTTTATATTTAGCAACTGCAGCATGCTGACTTACCTCAAGTCTCAATATTTTTGGAAATTTTGCACTTATTTCCCGAAATTCACAGTTCAAAATAATATTAACGTGGAACCCGGAAAAGAGCTGAATTCAAAAGAGAACAGTTTTGTGTTATTGTTTACACTTTATCCGGGTGAAAACGAAAGAATGGTTGGTAGATATTTTTGCATTCATGGGAAATGGACACAACAAATAAATTTTCAATTAAAACTTACTATTGTTGGCTTAATAAAAGAATATTGTAAGTTTTACAGTAGTTGCAATTGAAATGTGGGTTTTTAAAACAAAAATAATCTTATTTGGAACTTATATGAATAAGTATTATAGAAACAATAAAATGCAATATAATTTTAACAGAAAAAACAAACCAGAGGAAAAAAAAAAGAGGTGCTATTTTCGACTTGGCAGCCAATAGATGACCGACAATCTTCCCGTCGGTTGAAACGGTTCTTAGGCTTTCTCAGAAGCGTCACAGAAACCGTGTATTTCAATTGATACGCAAACGGAGGCGGGTGTTGCCTATCTAGGAATGGTGATAAATGCTAGTGCATGTAAACAGTTGCGGAACTCTAACCAATGCTTCTGTTGGAGCTCGTCTAATGATTCGTCCCAGGATTCAGACGTTCGCAACAGACATTGGACAAAGATTTTAGCAAGGACTATCACAGGGCCAATCAACCCGAGTGGGTCGAACAAGTTTACTGTGTCTGACAGCACGGTTCGTCTTGTGATAATGTTCGTTTGGGACCATTTGGGAACGGAATAGTGGAGTAGATCCATCGATGGTTCCCACATGAGTTCAAGGGTTTTGATGGTTGTTGGGGAATCTAGCGCAAGCACGAAACGTTCTTCACGCAGTTCTGGTGGTTTGACTGAGAGAATAGACGGCGAGTTGGGTGCCTATTTGCGTAAATTGAATCCAGCAGACTGCAACAGGTTTTGCAATTTTCTGCACTATTCCTGTCCTTCTTCGTCGGACATCCCCCGCTTGAGTAAACTGATCAGCGCCTTGATTTGACAGCTCTAAAAGACATCTTGTGGCCAAGCAGTGTCGAAGCAGTACGGCAGCGTTACGGTGTCGAGGCAGTAACGTACGTAACGTAGGAGGTTAATTAGAAAGTTTTGAGCGGTTCTGAAGAGGAGAAACGCCAGCGAATACGATGCAGTGAAAAATCAACAGAGTTAAGACGAAGCTGTCCATAAAATTTCTCAGCATCGGCAATAATCGCAAACTGGTGCATCCTAAAGCAAAGCGATATATCCTGTACGTCGTCCTGCAACACTGGACCCACTATCAACGCTTGATTAAGGGATACTCCGCTATCCGTCCGACAAGAGGCATCGAACATTACCCGTAGTTTGGTAGACGTGCTGTCAGCTCTCCCCACATCATGATGAGGTTGGTAGTAAGATGGGAATGTGTTGTCAGTGTCGTCGATTTCCTGCATATGGTTGAGGTGCAAATACTCCACAATAAATGCAGCATAAACCTCATTGAGCTTAGGGTTCACATCAAGTCTGCGTTAAAGGACAAGAAATCTACGAGTGGCTATTTCCTTAGAACTTCCGAGTTGGGACAACACGTCGGGTCGTTTCGGAAGGGTGATCACAAATCTAACCGATTGGTCACGAAATGTGTTAGCTATAAAGTGTTCTTCACAGAAGGGTTCCTCAGGAGAACGAGTGCTAGATGACCAGTAAGATTATATTTCCCAAAAGCGGGAGATTGGGTCATCGAGTGGTTCTGTGCTACATACGTGAGCTGCCTTAGGTTGGTCACGAGGAAGATGAAGTGCTACCCATCCGAACACAGTGTTCTGTAGAACAGGCTTCTCAGGACCCGGCTTAATGAATCCTTCTAAGAGCAGTTCAAAGTACAGTTCTATACCCAGCAGCAGATCAATCGATCCCGGTTCATGGAACTTGTGATCGGCCAGTATAACTCCGAATGGAATGCTTCAGCAAGAAGAATCGACCGTGTTCACTTTAAGCTCACGGGTATATTTTTTTTTCAGTCTTCGATTGTAAATTTGGTGCAACGAGACCCTATCCGAACATCAACAGCATGATACCGAGGGATGAGCTGGTATTGGTAACCGTGTTTTGTACTTCTGAGATCGAAACGAGTTCGATTTGACTGGATCGATTGAACGAGACTTCGACAGTGTCAGCGACTGGAGCACTTTAAGATGAGTACGTAGAAATTTGATGAGATCTTTGTATTAAGGAACATTTGTTGTTAATGATGGATTTCCCACTGCTTTAGGGTCGACGCATCTAGACAGCTACAAACCATGTGTGCCCGCAACGCACTCCAGCCGTCCGTCAGAATGCCCATGTTGTCAACCATGCACAGGTTTTGCTTCAAATCATCTATCCAGTGCATTAGAGATTCGTGGTACTTTCTTTTCATGGGCACAATTTGAAAACAGGGCGTCAATGTAGGATTTCACAATTAATCTTCTATTGTTAAAATCGCTGTTCCAATAAGGTCCAGGCGACAATATAATTTGCTGCAGTGTGCTCTACGGATTCTATTTTTTTTTTAGCATCTTTAGAAAGAGACGAAGAGAGATCCGTTTCCCTACCGGTGCATTTTTAAGACTTTCGTGCGTATCGCTGCTCTTCTACGTCACTTTAGTCACAACAGTAAGCCCGGCAACCACCCATGATCGCGCGTATGGATTCTTATGAACTCACTGAAGCCACCAACAGCCTAGCTCGGTTGGCACAACTCGAAATTTTCGCTGAAGACATCGCAGCAATAGCCAGAAACAGGCAGGTTGCACCCAATTCAGACTTACGAATTATGACGATTCTCGTCGACGGAATTTTTAAAATCCGTGGCCGCCTCAGGCACGTGGCTATACCCGAAAATAGGAAACATCCTATTATCCTACTGGCACGACATCCACTTACCAAGTCAATTGTGACCTACTATCACGTGAAAAATTTACACGCCGAACCTCAGCTGCTTGTAGCATGCGTCCGGGAAAAGCTAATTATCGTATCTAGTAGTATATTATCGTGTTTACTTACCGTGATTCCAACCGGCTGAAAAAAAATACAAAAAATATCAATATTGTTTTGTTTTTTTTTTTTATTCAAAAGCAGTTTACTTGAGTATATATACACTGGGCATATGTATGTATATATTTGTATATATATGAATGTAAATGTAAAATAAATACATTATCAAGAAAAAGACTGCTTACCAATAGGCTTTCCAGTAAACCCTTGAACAGGAACAAAATATTTGAGGAAAACTTCCAGGATCCCTGAAATGCAAAAAAAAATAATAGAGTTGGATACTAACAGTAGTGAAAAAGAGAACAAAAGATAACAATGTAAACATAACATAAAAACATTCAAAACAATTTGTCTGAAGAGGGATTCCATCTGCTTTGGAAAATCACTTTCTTGATATATATTTTTTTCTCTCAAAATTCTTTATTACAGCAACTATACTTTGAAATTTTGTTGTTAACTTTTCTTATGTTATATGTTTTAGTCCAAGGAACACGATTGTCCTACAAAATTAAATATTAAATTCAAATATATTCAAAAAAAAACATTACAGTTTTTTAGTTGGAAAATTCCCCCGAAAATTCGAATCAAGTTTATTGTGAAAGCAGCAGCTTTCAATGATATCGGTGAAGCTATTTAAAAGAACATTGGAAAACAGCAGCCCGCCATCCAGTTGTGTCCTTTATTTCACACGAAATAAAAATGTATCGAATAATCACAACAAATTTCGCTGGATTATGGGATGCTGGGGTAAAAAGTGCAAAAACTCACCTCAAGAGGGCACTTCAGAATGCAGAACTTATTTTTGAGGAGTCGTTTGTCTTGGGAGTATCTTACGATACTCGTGGTCCACGAAGTCTTGAAACTTAAAACCCGGAACAGTTGTGTTCTTGCTTGAGGACTTCTTCGGGAATCTTCAAGCATCCATTTCAAAACCCATCCACTTGATTCGGTGATTTGACGTGAAGTGAAAAAAAAAATTATTACCAGCAGCATGGTTGCTGCGATGATTTTTGTGCTTCGGTCGTTGCTGTGTCACTGCCAACTTTGATGCCCAAAAACAAACATGTGCAGCGAGGAAGCGTCCACCATTTTCTTTACTGATTAATGTGATCGAAGTTGAAGAACAAACATGCATTTTTTTCGGAGTTCTTTTAAGTAAAATAAGTTAACTTAAAACAGTGCATTGAATTGGAATTTGAGTCGTGCTTTGGACATAGAATGACAGTAATTTCTATGTTTAATTCGATAGCTTTCAAATATATCACGTTTCAAATAAATCACGCGAAAATTTGAACTGTCTACTTTGTTTGACAAAATAAATAAATAAATAAATAAAATCTAAACTGCACTGTAATAAGCTGTGCAAGTAATAAAAAATTAACAAGTGTCAGCGTTGGAAAATGGTGCGTCTTTATATTTTTGCTTAATACCATATCTTAAGAAAGGAAAGGTATAGAGATGCTAAGTGAAACATCAACAATAACAGTAATGATATTATTCATTTCGTTCCAGTTTTCTTAGCAGAGCGGTGCTCTATAGCCAAAAACTAGAACACTAGTGGCCACTGGGACAGAATAGTACTTTTGTTGGAGAAAAATCGTAGTGCTTCATCCATACTTCCTAGAGGGTTGGTGTCATGGTTACATAATTAGTTTCGTTCAAGATCACGCGGTTCAAATGACGGAATGCTAGCAAAAATATCAACGCAGAATGAGATTTTAAATTGAGGTCAATTCCGCAAAAAGATTTTTTTTTTTTGTTACATTTTTAACATATTTAGCATTTTTAACAGCGTAAAACTTCTCCTGTCGTCTTCACTAGGACTTGCCTGACCCGTCCATCGCGTCCTTTCACAACTGAGACAATCCGTCTTGGTAGCCACCCGTTCCGGATCGATTCGTCAACGATAATGACTGGGTCTGCGTCCTTCGGTTCTTTTGCTTCCTCGAACCATTTTGTGCGCTTGCAGATTGTCGGGAGGTATTCCCGTACCCATCAATGCCAAAACTGGTCAACCAGGCTTCTCGTTAGCTTCCAGTTGGTTATAAGGCACTCTGGATATTCTAGCATCGGTTGTGGAGGCTGAGCAGCCCCCTGAGAGCTCAGAAGCAGAAAATGATTTGGCTTAAAGGCTTCTTGGGCTTCTTGGGCTTCTGACTCAACTGGGACAAACGTCAAAGGACGTGAATTGACGATACCTTCTGCCTCGATCATCAGTGTGACGTCGTTCCTGCTTGTGTTTAATGAGATGAATACGACCTTAACAGATCTAACTAGTCGCTCTCACGATGGATGCGGATGGCGGATTGAAGATCGATGATAGCTGCTGGTTCATTTCCGCTATCTGTTGCTGTAGCTCACGGCTAGCTCCGAGGAATTTAGTACATACCGTTATCGCTCCTTATCTCTAAAGGGGATCCACGCCGTACCAGGAACCTACGAATAGCCATCTTGCATGTTTCCGCGGACAGGGAGTGCACTACCTCCAGATGGACTGCTCGAATGGTAAGGCACGTAAACAGTGCAACCCATCGTTTGACTAGCGATCGTCCGAATTTGACCATGATGGTCTAAGAGATTTGGACTTGGAGATTTGGACTGAAGGTTCAGGACCAGATGGAATTCCTATTTTTTTTTAAACTTAGCAACTGAACTCACAACCCCTTTATTATGGCTATTAATATTGCACTTGAATCCGGTATATTCCCGAAGGAATGAAAAAAATCCTACTCAATACCCATTTAAAAATCTGGTAACAAATCCGATACTCGAAAATATCGTGGGATTGCTATCATTTCGTGCATTACAAAATTGAAGAGTTTTCAAATATAAATAAAAACGTTTTTGGCCAAATAAAACAAAGAATAACTAGTGCACAACATGGCTTTGTTAAAGGCCACCAACACAAACCATTTCGAATTTGTGTTTCCTGAATAAACTGTATCTCGCGAACTTGGCCATATAGAAAGTTTCTGTCTTGAGCAAAGTTCTTCAGGTGACCAATTTCTTTCGGATGGTGGTCATAGTAGTTTAAACTCTCTCACTACGCAGCATTAGTGTGCACATGACCTTCCTAGTATGAAGGTGGGTGTTGGAAACAGGAGAATGACATGGATATGGGGTGGTGCAGAAGTGGGAGGGAGGTGGAAATGGGCTTAGGTCATGGGGGAAGCTACTGGGTCAAACTGAAGAGGTGGTGCTCTTCTACTTCAGCAATTGCGCAAGATTGTTCGATAGTTTGATACGAGTCAAGTAAGGAAGTTAAAAGAGTTCCGAACAAATACCGCCAATACCGCCAAATACGAAGTCAGGACCCAGTAAATACGGGCTAAAAAGACATTTCGTTCCGGCCACGCAAAAAACGTTGGTCGAAAAGTGCGAGGGCGGACGCTATACCGCCATATTGCACCCGTTTAGCAAGCGTCGAGCGGCAAGCTACCGACGACCGCTTTAAACCAACAACAGGTGAACAGCAAGTCCACCGTCGAACAGCCGATCGAGCCCCGCACACTGTGACAACCGTCGAGCCCCGTCATCCTCCGGGAACGTACCGTTCAGCTGCCGCCGAGAAACCCCACCAGCTGTAAAATCTTGTCATCGCTGGCCAACAGTACAGACACCGATACCGTAATAAAATAGTTAAAAGTGAAAGTGTGTTTTTTGGGCTTTGGATCAGTAGTGACAAGCCAGGATCCGACCTTGAAGCTCTAGGGCTTCGAACTCGAGCTATCGAACAAAAGAGGCGAGTGTTGGTGTAAGGGGAATTCCTTTAAACTAGCCCATCGGGCTAGCCATTAACAAAATAGGAAGCGATAACGATATTAATGTGTTTCAGAATAAAATACATGTTTTTTACACATGGTGCAGTCAAAACTTATTTCATTTTCATTTTGCAGCGTTTAGTGGGGCAATGGGAGCGCAGGTCAATCCAAAGCCGAGGATAAAGGAAGGGTAATGGCTGAATAGTCTGCGCGACCACTTGAACGCCATGGGAAAAGCAAGGGTCCTTCAATAGAGATCGGTTATTGGGGGGTTTTGAGGAAATGACACATAGCACTAGATTTGTGCTGCAAAATGTAAAGAAACCGAAAATCCATCTCCCACAGATTAATCCTTTCACATATATATCAAATTGATATTTTAAAGCAAACAGACAATATATGCAAAGGCTAGTTGCCAGTTGCGTTAAAGTCTAGTTGCCTCCCTAAGCGGACCTCCCGCATCCTAACTTTTGATAATCTACTTAATGCTATTAAACTGTCTAAATTTACTTATTTTAGTTCGTTTGATGATTACGATATCTCATTCGCCTAATTTAATAAATAATTGAAATCTTTAATCAACCTAATCAATTATAACCTATGCTTTGTAAAGTACCTGCACTTGTGCATGTAATCTAAAATTTAGCCAAGATTGGTTAAAAGGCTAACAACGGGACTTACCATTGTTTTTCGACGTTTTGGACGAGAAAGTTCCTTTGTCCCAGTCGGCTCCGGCACCACTGCTGGTTTCACTGCCGCAACCGTTGCGACCGAAGCTCTCGTGCTGTCAAAGCTCGGTACAAACTTCCAGAATCCCTGAAAATAAAAAAATAAACGTCAGTGTTGAATACTACTAGTTGAATTCCGTTGCACATAGGAAAAAGATATATTCATTTTCAGCTGAATTAAGTTTGTTTGTATTGATATCATCGAACAGTAACTTAAGGTCCTGTATCAATTCCCCGTGTTGTCCAAAAAGGATTATAGCCAGCCCTGATCTGTTAAATTCTGGTGAATTCGTAGATAGGTTTACCAATATATGGAGGAAATTTGAGGTCTAATTCTTAAAAAAATAACAAAATCTGAGTGGTATGAAAAACGGCCTCTTTTCATAATTTGGATACCTTCCAACAATCGGTCTTCTTACTATAGTTCCCACTTTAATTCATGCTCACTTCTTCCAATCCGGGAACCCCTATGCATTGGACAGACGCACTCCACAACACCAGTAGTAACGTTCAGTATTACCTCCACCGGACGAGGA